CCCTAGCCTCTCTCATCTCTGCCTTCCATCTTTTTCACTGGAACCCTGTCCTCAGCCCTTCTCCCCACTCTCTGTGAAAACTTGTTTTTCAGAAGGAAGCACTCATTTTAAAGCGTAAATCATTATTGGCAAATGTGTATTGAGCCTTCTTGCTTTCAGAGAATTTGTGTTTAAATGAGATATAAGAAATATTTAGGCAAAGAAATTACTCTCTAATGATAGAATTTAATTAGTGAGCCGTTGAGGGATAATTTTTGAAGCTAGGAAATTCTTATTGGCATCTTTGAAATTACAGATGTAAATGATTCCCCACTTGACCCACATGGAACATCAATCTTATCTATATTCTGCTGTGACGCCCCTCCTTACAAAAGAGAAAGCTGGGAACAATATTGCTTGCATGTGGGTAGAATGAATGCTTTCTGAGATCTAGCTATTATTGATTCTTTCTCATCATTTAATGTTTAAGTGGAAGTTGCTGGTGAAAGTTCAGACAGGAAGTTTGCAGCAAATTCAAGTTCTATAGTCATAAGAGGTAAAGACTTTCACTGCAGACCTTTAACTTGTTTGTTTTAATCAATCGACAAATACTGAGTAACACTTCAACTGTCTTCTCAAAGACATTTTGACCTTTTTGATTTCATTTTCTTTGGTTATTAGTGTGTCATGATTATAAGTGTTCCAGTATGTAGCAGAATCTGTGACAGCTTTTAATCTTTCAGTAGAGGGAAGTCCATGTGGATGGTGTGTAATCTCACATGCTTAAAAAGGCTGTGGTCTCCAAGGCATAGTGGTCAAGATCTTGGGCTCTGGAGTCAGACAGCCTGGTTTCATGCAAGCTTTGGTATGTACTGGCTGTGTGATGTGGAGCAAATTACTTAACTTCTAAACCTCACTTTCCTCATCTGTACAATAGGGATAATGTTAGTACCTGCTGGTGGGTGGTGCTCGTAATTAAGATTAAATAATGGATTTAAAGAATTTTGCACTGGGCATGGCATCTACTAAATACTAAATAATGGCTAGCTATGTTTACTTTCCTTTTGGCTCAGTGGTTCAAATTTTTTCTGGGTGTCCTTGAATATTCACTTCTAGAACACAGGAAACTGTACAGAAGCTTGTATAGGACTCTGTCAAGACTTTTAAATTGGACTACCTTAGAGTTTTTGGAATTGAATTATCCCAAGAAGGGCTGAAAAGAAAGCAAACTTTAACCCTAGTTTTTTGCTTGCTTTCCAGACCATGTCTTCGTTCTGTTTTTAAATATAGCTGCTCCAACAAATAGATTGACTGAGTACTACCTGTGCCATCTTTTGTTTCATGGCGTGGAGAGCACACAGTCAATTCAGACTGCCTTGCAACTTGTTTCAAGTGTAATTCAAGTCTTGAAATAATTATCTGGATGTGTGCATTTTAGAAACTATTGGAAGAGAAAAATATCATTAGCAAATACTTTCAGATTTTTTCTTCAGTCTTTGACTTCCATGGAAGTTGCAAAGGGGTGGTAAATCTGTAGTCTAATCACTTGGGGACCATGAGGTCCCCTGATTTTCTTTGGGCTCTGGTCAGGTAAGCAATCATGCATGTTCACAGCCAATTCTAATGTCTCTAGAATGATACTGACCAGTGGCTGTCTTTATTTTCAAAAGTCACCAGATAGGGCAGTTTCTCAAACAACTTTAGCAAGGCATTCCAGAAATGCTTGATCTCATACTTCTCTGAACTATGATAAATACAATTTGATTTCATCTTAGAGTAATTAATCTGAATTACTCCTTCTGGGATGTAAAGCAGAATAATGTTCTATAGTTCTTTGAACATTAGATTAGAAAGAAAATGCCCTAAACATTTTGCTTAATTAAGTCCTAAAGAGGTGGTACAAAATTCATGATTAATTGAAACATGCATATTTTGACTGATACATATTTATATGACATTATCATATGAAAATTTTATCATGTTATACAAACTGTTCACGTTGGCAATGTGATTTAATGCTGTAAATATTTTGCATTTGTTGCATTGTTCATTATGAAAAATACATAGGCTAATGGCTGTAAGGAAAAATTCGTTATGTGAATCATTTTTGAAGTAATCTTAAATCTCTAATGGCACAAACATTTAACCTGACTATAAAATAGGAAATCAGAGTTTTCTTAGTTAGAAGAAATGTTTTTTTAAATAAAAAAATTTAAAGCAGTTCAAGTTAAAAAAGCTAAAGTGCTGGGGCCTTCTGTTTTGCCAGTGTAAAGCACCCACGTAATTTCTGGGTTTCAGGTAAAAAAAAAAAAGATGTGGTTGTTGAAATGCACTTAAGAAAATCTCACTTTTCTAGGGGAGCAGTCATACTATTTAAGATGGGGCACCATCTCATGTCTGGTGGCAGAATTTTGAGCTATGTTGTTTTGCTGACAAATAATTTAGAAAATCATAGTTCTTTCTTAGTTTTAAAAATATAATATTAATAAAAGTGACTTTTATAAGACTAGAATACCTGAGATATCTAAAAATGTTTTATTGAACTTTTGGAATAATCTACTTACCAGACTCTTCTTTGGAGTATTAGCTATAGATAACAGTTTGATGATAGAAAAAGAGAAATCTGATAGAAGTTTTTCAGTATTTGCCTTTATGCAACAGAATTTTATGAAAAACTGTAGGAATACTGAATTATTTAGTAAGCTGGATACTAACTACCATTCTAAGAGTTTTCCAGTTACCAGATTAAAAAAACAAAAGTGCACATTCTTTTGTTTCATCTTCCCATATTGTTACTTTATAGTACAAATGATTTATAAAAATAATCTGCTTTAAGAATTCTCCTTTTTTTTTATTCATTAGGTCTGTTCTAAGAAAGTACCCTTGCCTTCCTTAAAAAAAAAAAAAAAGAGAAGCGGGTCTGTCTAGTGATGATAATGAAGCATGAAAAAAACCTGCGAGCAGCCTTTTTGCCCCAAGTGTCATTCCTCCAGGCCCGGCCAGAGCACAGGCTGAGTGCCTTTGCTTCTCTTACTCTTTGTCATCTCAGTTTTAGTCCATTATAGTTAAAGAGCTAGGACTAAAAATCTTATGTTTTGTTTCCCAAACCAGACCATATAAAGGAAGAAACAACGAGGGGAACCTAATACGAGTCCTAAAGTTCTTCCTTGGGAAGTAGAGTTTCTTCCTTGAACTCAGGCCAAATAACTTCCCCCATAAATTTTTTTTTTCCTTACAGATTTCACCAGAATCAAGCTTATTGCCAGTGGATCATTTGTGAGAGTTCTACTGTATCATCTTCTTTTTCAGGAATTTAAGATTTTAAAGCAGCTAATCTATTGGGAAAAACAGAAACTACTAGTGTTGACTCCATTTCAAGAAAGTTATGTTATCAAAAATGTTTGATTAACATTAAAGGTCATTTTTACGCTTTCTCACTTATTATAATTAATAATAAATCATAATATATAACTGTGAAATAAAAACAGTCATTTAGAATTTTTATTCCATTAAGGTAAATAAAAAATGCTGCACATAGTTCTGAGTGATGATACTCAGGGGGAAAAGAAACCGTATCACTGCACTACAAATTAGTTTGCTTCTAATTTTGCAGGCTGATGACCGCACTGCCTCAAACCAAATCTTTTCCCGGGAATGGAATGATTGCATGACAGACTCTATGAACCATGAATATGTCAACAGCTCATGGACCAGGCCTTGCTTAGCAATTAGTCTTTGGGGGATTTTATTCAGAAATCAGACAACACTATACCAGAGCTTGTTGGGGATTTTGTGATTACCATTCATGTCTGGAGCATGAGTCTGGGTTAGTACCAAAAAAAAAAAAAATCCGTAAAGGACAAAGAGATGTGGCTAAGTGGCGATCAGTCATACACACACATTGTCAATTGGGAGGCCAAGACAGCTAGGAAATATTCCTTAAAATTCTACTTAAAGTCTCCTTTTAGTCCCCTGCCAACGTTTCCCAGACTTCAGTCATTTGAATATCACCATCACATTTTCGTCATAGTATCTTACCACTTGTACTATGATTTACTATTACATTTGATTAACTGACTCGCTTTTAAAAGCCTTTGTTTTAAGCACTAATATTTGTGATATCATGGGCTTGTTTTACTACTTAAATTTGTTTTCTTCTCTTATAAAGGAAAAGAAATACAGTATTTTAAATATTGAAAATATTTGCATACTATCTAACATCATTCTGAGCATCCCCATGACGTGGTTGCCAGGTCCTACAGGAGCTACGAGGACTACCAATCTGACCAAGAATGATCTGGGAAGCTATGTGACCTCAGGTCTCATTGCTGACACTCCATTACTACTCTCTCTAGGGAACATGAACCTCATCACATGGAGGAGAGTTTAAATCAGGCCTGCACCTGCCTGGGGACACCCGTGTGGGAAGGCTGCATCATAGGAGACAGCTGAGTGAGCCAGGCTAGTGCCTTTCTATCGGCAGAATCTGGCCATCACATCTTTCCTTTTTCACTAACCATATCACTTGAGAATCATTATATTGCAAGAGTAAACAACACCCCCATATCATGTAACAGTAATAGGGCACATGCCAAGATGGATCCTGGCTCCTGACTGTCCAGGTTCACATTAGGGCATCACATAGGTGGGTATAAGCGTCCCACTCAATATGGAACTTGTAGGCTTTCAGCAGTACCTTTGAAGAAATGAGTCCTTTTACAACCAGGCAGAATAAGCATGTTTGCCGGGCTAAGAAGCCCTAGGAATTTTTATGGCTCTGCAGTTATGCTCTGGTTTTTAAGTAAATGATATCTTTTGGAAATATAAGAGCAACTCCACCTCCCCGCCCCAAAGGAAAAGAAAAAGCACGGAGTCTTCCCACCAAGAGCTACTAGGTCGGAAAGCGGTGAGGTGTGGATATTAAATCACACCTCAAGTAGCTCATTCAGGTTCAGGGTGTGTCTAAGTTTGAAGGGATGTTTGCTTCTGATATGAACATTTTTCTTATACTTTTATTATAGAAGATGATGTGTCAAATGTACAAATAATGTGTGCCTGGTGCCAGAAAGTGGGAATCAAGCGCTATTCCCTGAGTATGGGAAGTGAGGTGAAAAGCTTCTGCAGCGAGAAGTGCTTTGCAGCCTGCCGACGAGCCTACTTCAAGAGAAATAAGGTAAGAGCACATAGAGAGAGGCGGCCCACACAGGCCTCATCAGACCACATGCGCACGTGCCTCTTAGCCTCTAGCTGACAGCACTGCGCATCTGTCATTTATATTCTTTCTGTTTTGTCTGTTCTCTTTCTCTGTCATACTTAACCTTTTGGAATAAGGAATCCCCTTCTAATGTGTAACCTGTTCTTCAGTTTTTCTTGTCTTGGTGTTTGAATTTTGAGAGGGTGAATGAATTTGATGAGGACACGGTGATCGCAGCTGGTATCCTAAGTGACAGTGACTTTCCAGCAGTAGAGTGCATAGACTAGAGTCTTGAAAGATAAGTGGTAGAGATTTCTTATAAAGGCTGAGAAACTAGCCACAGACACATGGCCAGAAAGCTTTAGTCCACTCAGTTTAATACTTGTTCCCAATGGAAATATTGCTCTGGCTCTTTCCAAAATCCGATCCACAAATTCTAATCAAGAAACCTGTCAAGTCTCTCTTGACACTTTCTATTAAAGTTGACTGATATCGAGAAAAGGTGAAAGAATGAATATGTGAATCAGCATTGCTCACATAGCCAAGCATTTGTGAGAAGCATGGTGGGTGAACACAGGAACAGCCATAGTTGTAGTTTTTTTTTGGTTGTTTTTTTTTGTTTGTTTTAAGACATCTCAGATTTGAATATGTCCTTTTAGAATAGTATTGGCCACCACTGATGGGAAATGGAATGCATGATGTTTTTACAGTCACAAACACACATACACACACAGCTAATTTCTTAATTTTTAAAGAACCTCTATAGCATTTTGCCACCAATTACTGAAGTAAATGGCTAGTTCTTGATTATTTCCCATTGATCTGTAAAGCTTCCTTAATTCATAAAACTGTCCACACTTTGCTGAGCATTGCCATTTCTATAATTCAAGATCAAAATCTGTCCTTTCTTAAAGCAAACAATTATTATTATTATTTTTAAGTCTGATATTTGCAATCCTGAGATGCTAATCTCGGGTTCATTGCATTGAAGAAGCACTGTTGCAGCAAATTATCTCCTGCAAATTTGGGTCACATCACTCTGCCAAAAAACATAATGCTGAAAGAATTAGGCTGCAGGATTCAGTGGGGTGGAATTTTAGAAGCAGTCTCTAAGAATTAGGCTCATAATCTTCACTGGAACAGGGAGGCAAGTAAGGAAACTGTTTTGGAATTTTTTTGGAACAGTCACCAGTCCAGTTCACGTTCCCTTGGGAGGGACCAGTGAGGCTTCAGAGGAGGGTGGTGAGAGCAATGCACGGGAGACACATTTTGTTTTAATATAAGGGGATTAAAAGTGATCTCTGAGACCTGGGGGCTCCCCCTTTTGAGTGCTGAACTCTGGGATAACAGTCACAGGAGTGGACCCAGCGCTTTTGTCTTCAAAGCCCTACTTACCACAACAAAATACTTTGCATTCCATCCTAGAAGACGGTTAGAGAACAGGGTTTTTGTCTTTCTATGATTCTAAAGGGCTATGCGCCTGAATTTTGATGGACTGCCTGTAGTGAAAAAAATCAAGCAAGAAGAATTTGTCACAATCCTGGTGATACATGTTATATACTTTGAAATGTGGTTTTACTTTAGTAAGCCTTTGAAGAAAGACACTCAATTCAATTGGAAAAACAGCCCCAAATAATCTATAACCTATCTCTATATCTATCTATATAAAATACCATATATAATGATACCATATATATTTATATCATTATAAATAATATGTCATATTACATCGTTATTAAGTTAAAGGTCAAACGAATTTAAACTTCAACTGCATATAGTTTTGAAAAATGGGTAACTGGGAGCCAAGATAAGAAGCAGCGTTTGGAATACTTAGCGTAGGTGAAATCAGCAGGGGGAGGAAGGAGGACCTCTATCTTTCACATCCTGCAAACCTGGGAGTCAAAGTGGCTTGTCTGACGGCTGATCCCAGAAGCACGTTAGTGGGCTGTCTTCTCTGCAATCTTCTTGCTTATTTATGTATTCCAAATCTCTGCCACACTATACGTTCTCACTTTTCAAACAGAGAAAAACTGGTCACATTGCTGGCTGGATTCTTCTTTTTCTTTTTTTCTTTCTTTTTTTTTAAATTTTAAGAGTGTTATCTCTGTAACAATATCCTATTGTATTACAATAAACATGTACAGCTGCTGCATTTCTGTTAACTGATAGGATTTTGTGGTCATTTCATTTAGGGCTTGGGTTTCCTAATGGATTGTATTAGGTAGCAGTCTCCATCCTGCCATTTCTAAGAACCGCTGAAATCAGCCCCAGGGCGTTCCCTGCTGAAGACAATAGCAAATAGCTAGTCTATTCTTGTATCATTTAATAAAGTCTTTAGTCCCCATTATTAAAACTGTGGACTTTCTTAATCCTAGGGAAAGGGCAAAGTTCTTCCCATTCCTACATAAAAAATTTTCTGGCTAAATTCTACACTTCTAAATACTGAGAAGTGGATGGAAAATAGAGTAAGTAATGTGTGTGCAGAACAGAATTTTGCCTTAGGTATAATGTAGATTAAAAAAAAAAACATGTAAGATTAACTATGCTGTAAATTATGCTTTAGAATGACAGCCTGCTTCTTGGTGGATAGCATGCTGGGATCTAAAAATGGGCTCTAAGTTGAACCCAAATTGCATGCATAACTTCACAAAGAAAAATCCTAGTAAAAAAGGTAGCTAATTAGGAGCAGTATTCAGCTGACCTCTGTTTTGTGTCTGAGCAACACCTGCATTTGTGAATGTAAATTGGACAGCTGTGCCTGTGGTTCCCTGCTATCCTCTTCACAAATGCTGGGGTATAGAAGCAGGAACTGATTTTCTGCTAAAAACAAGGACAAAAATAGCCCAACCCTCAAAATGAAGGCCCACCGAAAATTGGCTCTTTAAATTTCATTTGCTTCTCGAACCTTCTTTCTCTTTGGGTTTGTTTGATGGAGCAGATTAAGAATGCCACATCCCTCTCTTACCTGGCACTGTGAAGTAAGGTGGGATGGCTTGAAGCCAAATTTAACCCTTTATGACATGTAGGTTATATTTTTAAACGAAACTTAAAATTTTATTGGAAGAATTGTTTGGATTGCTACAAGTATGTAGGCTTTCTTCAAAAATGCTTCTGTTGGAGAAGACTGTGAATCACGGCCATATTCATTTAATGAACCTAACTTCTGCCTTATGCATTTCAGGATGCTGTCCCTTAGATGTGTATAGAGTTAATTCATAATTATATTTTGTGGAATCCTTATCCCCAGCAGGCTCAATTGCTGGCTCAAAAGTTTTTGAAACAGCCAGTAAAAAAAATACTTGGGTCGTCCATGAACATTGGCCGAACAATGGGATGTCAGTCTCATTACTAGATGCACTAGAGACTTGTCAGGGAACTAATAGCTCACTCTTTTCCCAGCCCTTTTTCGAGGCCACAAGTAGAGAAGGGCTTGAGAATATTTCTAGCCTAGTGATTGACCTAGGAACTGGAAAGTTGCAGAGACTCCTTAGTGGTTTTGCAAGAGATGCCGAAGTGTTTAGTCCAACTAATACCAGTTTTACTTTGCACAATAACAGACCCTTAAAAATATTTTTTCCTAAGTGAGTAATGCCTTGTAACCATTATCCTTTTAAAAGTGAGAGTAACAAACAAGACCACAAATAGTAGTCATTTCCAGATAGCCTGTGTTTGATCTTTATATTTCTGCGTGGAAAATATTTTGTTGTCTAAACTAATGTCTGCAAATCAAACAGGAAATCAAAACTCAAGACAAATGGCGAGCGCAGGCAATGTAAAAATGATTATTTTCTTTCCTTGTTCAGATCTCAAATTTATAGTGTTCTTCATGGATTAGTAGCACCAATACTTTAGTAATAGACACAAATTCCTAAGAACACCAAAGTTTTGCTTCCTTGTTCTAGTTTTCAAAATTTTCAGACAAGAATAGATAGAAATCCTTTTTTAATATCATAATATTGCTGTTCCCTGACAGACCGTGGTGGGAAGGAACCTGAGCAGATAAGAGATAAAGATTGGGATGAATTAAAAATAAGAAGCTTATATAGACAAACAACATTTCAGATGATGTTATTAAGACCTCCTCAAAATCATGATAAAAATAACAAATATTTAGTGAAGGGACTATTGTTTAATAAGTATTTCTTTTACTTTCAAACTATATCGCTGGATACCTAGTGATCTCTTCTTAGAAGAGATCCCTTTTGGAAGAACCTGTTACTAATAAGCACGTATCATCGTATTATTTGGAGTTACATTTTATTTAGACTTTTGGCCTTTTTATTAAACTTGAATATATCCTGAGAAAGATTCTCAGTTTCAGACTTAATTATAGAACCTAGTAGTACAGAAGAAATGTGTAACAATTGCCCTGGTAATCTAGTGATTAACCTGTCTACTTTTTTTTCTTTAAACACCTGCAAGATTTAATTTGCAAAATGGCTATCATTCATGAAGGTTTAGGGAAGGACATTAAGAAATTACTTGTAATTATTGTCCCCTGACTGCCTGAAGCTCAGGCCACAGACTCGTTGCTGCCAGTTGCTTGCAAATATTCTTGATCAACAAGTAAATGTGCCGAGGGAGCACCAGAGTTCTTTCCGTGGATTCACCTTGTTTTTATGGGTCACCATTGAGCCTGTTGGGTCTGTCTACCTGCTGGATGATTGCTTTGGTTCTGTAGTGTCCCTTGGAACTGTGCTGCAGGCCTACCCCACTACCTGCATGTAGTGTGGCCTCTGCCTCCCAAAGCTTTAGCCCGTAGGCCAGTGGCCGAGTTCCCTTTTGGTCACAACAAACAGGGAAGCTCTGGGGAAAGGAGAGCATACCTTTTCTTGTTCTCTGGTGTTTTGAAATATGGAATGGAATATTGATGAGCTGCTGCAAATGAGAACCTATGAAAAAAGCAAGAGCAGACGAGGCGGGGAAGGTGTTAGCCCTTAAAAACACACTTAGGGTGAGGTTAGAGCAGGAGAATTCTG